GCTTGCCTGTGTATTGACCATGTCTCTCTCAGGTGTGTGCACGCTGGAGCCGCCCTTCTACATCGTGACGGAGTACATGCCCCACGGGAACCTGCTGGACTACCTGAGGGACTGTGATAAGGAGGAGGTGAATGCCGTGGTGCTACTCTACATGGCCACGCAGATCTCCTCCGCCATGGAGTACCTGGAGAAGAAGAACTTCATCCACAGGTGAGAGGACGCAAGAGGGAGGCAGCAGACGTGCATGAATACATATTCTATAACACATAGTTTTGAGCAAGCTCTCTGATTGGTCAATAGGCGTGTTTGATTCCACGATCAAACAACGATCAAATAGAACGTGCCTAATCACAAAGTATCCAGTGGCCTACACACGCCACTAGCCTACCGAAACTACTTCCATGAGCCTACATTGTGTGGTTTCCATAGCGACGTTTAGCGACACACAGCCGTTACACTGTTATACATTGTCTCTCGTTGGAAATCGGTAGCTACAAAATGTCAGATTTTAAAGTTAATTTTGATTTGTTGGGGGGCCTCAGTATTGATGAACGGTTGGACATGGACACAGACCACAAAACCAACGAAAGATTTGCGGCTGTTTCAACTGACGAGTTGAGTCGTTACCATGGGAACTACTTTCTAGGAACTACTTTCTGACGGAGATTAACTCAAGCAGAAAGCGTAGGTTTGGGAGCAAATTAGCCCACATTATAAAATTATTTTACGATATTGTTGATTACAATGATAGTTTGTGTAATAGAATCGCAATCATACACTTGAGGCAGTCCAGTACAGGCGTACGGACCTCGGCGCTGCCGCAGTACTGTCGTACCAATAATGACGTTCAAGAACGGCCTCTCGTGTATGATTGCTTAATTTGAAAACATCGTTGCTTGCTTTAAAAGTAGCACAATTCATTATGTCAAACCTTGGAAAGTATCTAGATATCCCTGCCCTAATATGCCAAAGTAACTGACAACTGAATATGTTTTGCCGTCTGATGTCACTGTCTGGACCGTTGCGTAAAAAGGAGGGTTTCTGCCCCGTTACTTCTCCGCTGTTTTCTTGTCACAGTTTCAGCCCAACTGTGTACAGTTAAATTGGTTGTTTAAAATCTTTTTTTTTAGTAATCCCCAGAGAACCGTAGACAACACCACAACGTGCTGGAATTAACCCGGAACAGCGTCTTTGAGCTGCCGTGTTGCCTGGTAACCGCCAGGTGTCGCCGCAGGAGTTTCCTCTCTGCTTTCACTTCCGGTCACTCTCACAACACGGAATATGGCGGCCAGCTCAGATCGGATTCCTCCTCGTCTCCCTGCCACGGAGGAGCCGGGAGCCGCAACGCCTGACATGGCAGATGGGGACAGCTACGAGGGAGAAGACATATTTGTTAATAACGTGAGTTTACATCTCATTTGTATGTATTATTATCAGTATTATAAGCTTTAAAGTGAGCGATGCAGGGACCCTGCATCTTCACCTGATCTGACCTGCATTCACGACAGATAACATAACTGAGAGCTAACTGTCAGAGGCGGGGAATTAAGTCAGACTCTGTGTTCACAAAAACAGCTATTGGTTCATAAAGTTAGCCGAAGTTAGTTTTAGCACACATGTAGACTTTTGATTCGTCATTACTAAGTTAATGGTTGATTCTGGCCTTCTTTAAGCCTTTCCCACACAAGTGTTGATTTAAAAGATGTTCGTGTTTTGATGTGTTATTCATCGGCTCGTGTTCAAGTTTCCTTATCTGTGTCTGTTTGCCATGATAATGATCCTCAGACAACTGACTGTTAACCCAGCTAGCGCTCTCCAGCTGGCGCTCTCATGCCACTTTTGTTTGTGTACTACCAGGGCTGGTGTAATTACTCAGATCCGTTCGGTACTCCAATTAAAACAAAAGTTATGAATTTAAAATCTTACTCAGTAGCCTACTTAGTAAAATGTATTAACACTTAAATGTACAGCTAATGTCGCAAGTACAATTAGGCCTCCTTAACAATGGCAATTATAGTAGTACGTGATATTATTTATTATATAATTGGATTATAAGCATTTATGCACAATATTTTAACTTTGTGGTTTAGGTGGACTTCATTTTAAACATGTTGTATTGTGCTGCAAGTAATAAACATTGTATTCAATTAAGTGATGTATTGTTTGGTTTGTAAAAATAAAAATAGTGGGAATTGCATAAATTAACAATGTAATAGAGCTATGAGACAAATGTAGTAGAGTTAAACGTAAAATATTTCCTTTGAAATGTAGTGGAGTTGAGGAATACATTGGCATAACAAAAAGACTAAAGTAAATTGCAACAACCTCTGCTTGAGTAGATGTACTTAGTTTATTTCTGCCCACTGGTGTTTCTGATGCCGATCTTTAAGTGGTGTCCTTCCTCCCTGCAGAGTGTCCCTGTAGCTGTGAGTCGAGGAGTTTCTCAGCCTGATAATGTCAATGAACAGACCCCAGATCTGTTCGGCGAGGAGGAGGCCGGCAGCACGACAGCCAAATCCAACGGAGTTCACTCAGATGATGACAACGACCTGTTTGCTGGTTAGGAGACTTTTTTTTTTATGTACTCTGCTTTCAAGTTAAGTTAATGTGTCACAAATCAAACTAATCTGATTTAATTATCTCAGTTTATGCTACAACTAAAGTCTAATGAAAGATGTTTTTGAGTTGAGAACATTTAGAATCTAGTTTTTTTTTTAGCTTGACCCTTAACTTGGTTCTAATTGTCAGGTGTTTTTGCTTCTACTGCATCTATGTTACTATACTACAGGTCTAACTGTGTAGTACAAACACTCCCAAAACTCTTCTTAGACAACATTGAGAATTGATTTGGTCAAACTTAGCTATAATAATTGGCTCCAGTGAAAATAACTTTTCGATTCCCCTGACTGATCTATTCCCACACTCAAGACCCAGTTAGGTATAATACAAGCAGCTGCACGAAACACATTTCCAAAGCAAGACACAGTAAGTTTAAAGCTAAGTAACCAGCAAAATTGAGATTCAAACAGAACTGTCTGATGAAAGAATAGACGAGGCAAGTCAATTTAATTTGTTTACTAATTTTGCTCTACATCAAATTTGTACAGCAACAAAGGAAAACACAATACACAAAAAAATACAAGCAAGATTAACTCAAAGTAAAGAAAATGCACAAGAACTCACTCCCCAAAACACAGTGATACACCACAAACCCAGACACCAGACTCACAAGAGAAAACCTATTAAGTATAAGTAAAGTTTAATTTTAGACAGGATCTGGTCCTGTTGTTATATTTCTTCTTTACTTGCTGTTAAAGCGCTTTTAGCACAAGGAAAAGCCCTATATAAATGACATGTATTATTATTATTAAAGTCAGAGTAAGGCAACCACTTGGTAAATGTTGGTAAAATATTTAGTGAATATTGAATTTGCATCACTCACCAGCCGAAAAATCACTCTATTTAGTGGCTTAAAAAATGTGTACATTCACTAGCCTTTTGTCCGATGTAGTGCTATTGTATGACATAATGTTGTACTCTATCTGAAATACACCTTAGTTATCTCTGTTCATTACTTTTTTGATTAAGAAAGGCATACATTGATTATTTACTTTCCTCAGAGGCGCGTGTGGAGCTGAACACGCCCGGAGGCTCTGCCCCGAAGGAGCCCTCCTCTTCCTCTGGCCTTCGTCCAGCCTCCTCGTTCACTACGAGCCCTGCGGCCCTGCAGCCCACCTCCTTGGAGCAGGTAGGGGTCACAGGTGCAGGCATGCAATGGTCTGTGATAACTACTGTTACATCACCAAGTCACCTGTATGTTACAGCCAGTTGTGTTTTTCTTAATGCAGATGGAAGAGGACGAGGCAGAGGACAGTTTTGATGTGGATGTTGCGGTCACAAACCCTGAGAAAGTTGGTCAGTGTCTTTTTTCCCCCTACTACTACTTTCAACTATGATACAGCTACTGTATCTGCAACTTGTAGTTTATTCAGATGTTGATAATCCTGACACTTAATAGTTATATTTTTATGGTTAAAGCTCAGTTGAGCAACTTTAAAAAGCATATTAATTTCAGCCTGTATCAAAATTATTTCTCATCTCCAATGTTTTCTTTCCCTCTAGGAGATGGAATGGGTGCTTATGTGGCCTACAAAGTATCCACCAGGGTCTGTAGTACAGCTTTTATTTGAATATGCTAATGTGACAAAATCTACACTTGTGTTTCTAAGTATTTCGTTTTGTGCCCCTATCTCTTTGTTCAGACGTCCTTGGCCATGTTCAGGAATAAAACCTTCTCTGTGAGAAGGCGCTTTAGTGACTTCCTGGGTCTTTACGAGAAGCTGTCCGTCAAACAGTTGCTCCATGGCTACATTATTCCACCACCACCCGAGAAAAGTGTCGTAGGTGGGTCCCGTTTTTCTTTATTTTTTGTCTGTGTTTTGCCCACTTTGTTGTGCCTTTTGGTGACTGTGGTTTGACCAACAGGAATGACCAAAGTGAAGGTGGGAATGGACGACCCGTCATCTGTAGAGTTTGTGGAGAGAAGAAGAGGCGCTCTGGAGAGGCAAGGATCCACACGTTTCATACAGTGACGTTATTACAGTGATGCACCCATACTCAGAGAGCTGGATCTGTTATCAGTGAAAATGATGCTGATGTATTCAATTACATTCTGTGTACATATACTACATATGTTAACTACTGGAGTTTTTTTAGGGTGATTCTCAAGAGCTTTCTCTTAAAATGTATGCTTTTCAGTGAATTTATGTTGATGTATTTATTTGTTTAAAGCAAAGGTCAAGCATGATTGATGTTGCTTAATAAATCATAATCATATTAGGCTTTTTTTTTAAACATGTGTGCATGTTTTATGTGTTAGTTTTAGGTCACCACTACTTCTTACTCACTTTATCTTCTACTGTCCTTTGTAGATATCTTCAGAGAGTGGTGTCTCACCCATCGTTACTACAGGACCCTGATGTCCGTGAGTTCTTGGAGAGAGAGGAGGTAGGTGCTTCAAGTTCTAAACAGATTGTATATTGAAATCATAGCCGTTAGGGTTGCAATTAGCTGGATAATGACTTTGGAGTCCTGTCTGTTTTCAGTTACCCAGAGCAGTGAGCACCCAGGCTCTGAGTGGAGCTGGCTTCCTCAAAATGATCAATAAGGCATCGGATGCTGTCAACAAGATGACCATCAAGATGAATGAGTCTGACACTGTAAGGGGACCCTGGGCCGAGTGTTTTCAGGAGACTGTTGTGCATGCATTTTATTGTTCTTCTACCATTGGAATTATACTCAATATTCACAAACTATTGTGCTGTTGCAATGGCTTAACTTGAAATTATAGCAGGCCAGACAAACCTGCCATTCTAGACATGATGAGGTTGTTTGATTGGGATATTTTGGCTGTGTTTCTCAGTGGTTTGAGGACAAGTTCCAGGAGATGGAAAACGAGGAGCAGCAGTTGAGGAAGCTGCAGGCCGTGGTCGACTCCCTGGTCAACCACAGGAAGGGTGAGCTACATCCGTCTTTCTTCATTTGTCTATTTTATCAAACAGTTTCAATTCAGGAAACAGAGTACAGTTCAGCTGTCAGGTCTTTAATGGTGAAACAGGCGGACTGACTATTTTCCTTTTTCAAACCCAGAGCTGTGTGGGAGCACGGCAGTATTTGCCAAAAGTATGGCCATGCTGGGAAACTCTGAGGACAACACGGCCCTGTCCCGGGCCCTTTCCCAGCTGGCAGAGGTGGAGGACAAGATGGAGCAGCTGCATCAGGAGCAGGCAGCCAGCGACTTCTTCATCTTTGCTGAACTGCTGGCCGACTACATCCGCCTGATGGGTGCTATGCGCGTAAGCTCACAGCTGCAGAATAATAGTTTTACAGGACTTGGAATATAAGATTGAGATTCTTCAGTAGCAGGAAAGTCTGAGTAGTATAGCTTGAGTAGTTCCTAATCCCAGGATTAAAATAGGAAAAAGTGTCAGTTTGTAATGCCTGATATGAAAATCATCTCTGTGAGTTTGAAGTATTTTCAACAGAGTGCTACTTGGGTACTTGTGGGTTATCTGTCACTACTTTTTTATAGCGGGTAGCTGGCTCCTCCACATGAACTTTTTCATTTCTCAAAATAAAAAATATTAATCCTAGGGTTTAGGGTTTTAGAGAGTCTGAAAAAAAAAACCAAAAAAGTGCATATTTAGAGTCTAAAAAAACCTAAAGACTTGCGACAGATAACCCACAAGTACCGCTACTTGTCTGTTTGGTGAGTGCCATGATAAAGTGTTGGGTGTCCACAGGGGTGTTTTGACCAGCGTGTGCGGGCTTGGCAGCGATGGCAGGAGTCTCAGAGTACACTCCAGAAGAAGAGAGAGTCTGAGGCCAAGCTGCTGTGGGCCAACAAGCCAGACAAACTGCAGCAGGCCAAAGAAGAGATCACTGAGGTAACACAGAGTGCTGCTGGGGCACTGAACCCCGCCTCAGGCTTTAAACCAACACAGGCCCTCTGCATTGAGTCCTTTCACAATGATTGAAATGCTAAATCATAAGGCTAAAGATCATAGTATTTGACCTGAAAGGAATATGAGACCCTATCATAACTGTTAAGCTGATGTAATCATTATTTCTTGAGATTTTAAAGACAGAAAATAATGATTTAATTGGTCAACCAAGAAAATGAATAAGGAAAATGTGTAAATTGTACGTATTTTAGTTTTTAAATAAAGACACCCTGTCTTATCGGCGTCTGTAGGCATTATAATTGTATGTATTTGTTTACTGTTTCAAAAGTGAATCATGTGTTATAATAATATCAGCGTTGTTGTAAATATTGCATACTTGAAAATATTAATATATTAATACTTGTTCTCTCCTTATGTTTGTTCTCAGTGGGAGTCGAGGGTTACTCAGTACGAGAGAGATTTTGACAGGATTGGCAGGACTGTACGCAAGGAGGTTCTCAGGTTTGAGGTATGTTTGTTTTTATAATAGTTACAAAAAGTAAGTAGGCCATTGGCCCTTAACGAACAGCTCTATCAGAAGAAATGTTTCAGCTAGAGGCCTTTATCAGGGCTATCATTAAGCACATTATTAAAACTAGTGCCTCAACAATATAGTATAGTTGTAATAGTAGTATAGTTCTGCCGGAAACTGGGTTTTCAATTGTCAAGGAGCTTAAGATATGAAACTTTTCTTTTCAGAAAGAAAAAGCCAAGGACTTCAAGAGCCAGATAATGAAATATCTGGATGCAATGCTGCAGTCTCAACAACGGGTAAACATTTAACTATATCATGTATTTTATTTATCACGTAAACATTACTCAGTGCTCTTTATTTTATTCATGTCTATTTAAGTGTTCCTTTAACTAAAACACATCAAAGTTGTCACCATTACAATTATCACTGTTATTACTACTACTTTGAAATACTTGTTATAATTAGTATTATTGAAAGCTATTAAGTGTTCAATACACATTTTAACTGGCTTTTCATTCTTCTTCTTTTCCAGATTGTAAAGTTTTGGGAGGCGTTCCTGCCTGAGGCGAAGGCAATAGCTTAACGAAGAGGGAGACCTTTTTTTAAAAGACCCCAACTGCCTTTTTTGAACACTTTACCTCTTGACCACAAACTGAGAGGACAATTTCGAACACAAGAATCTTCCATCCATTTCTTTTCTTTTTAACCATAGTGTATTCTCTTATCTTGTACAGGTCTTTTATATAATAAGCTGCCGCATTTACACAACATTTGTCTGGCATAATTCCTTGTTTATGTTCTTGACTGAAAGATGGTATAAAGCAGGAGATTAACCTGGCCGTAGTATTATTTATGTTTCTTGCTTAATCCGGTGTTGACACTGAGGTACTGCCCTATAGTAACATTGTCTATAGTTTACATTAGAAGATAGACGTATTTAAGTCATTCCAGTCTATAACAGCTTATGTTTATGAATGCATGTTGGATAACGTTTTGAAGCACTACAATGCATTGTACAGTTGGAAAAACTTTTTTAAATGAAATACCACTATTGATGACCGAGGTCATTTACCAAGAATATTGGCACATTGTTAGTGTATCACATAATACATATTAGAGCATAGAATAAAAAAAAATCTGAGTTGCTACAAAATGACAAAGAAGTAACAGTGGGTGAAGGTTGAGATAATTCAAAAATGCTTTGTTGGTATTTTCTACTATGATGTACAACTAGAATCATGTTGATTAATCGATTTCTTTCACACCAGTTTAAAGCACTCCAAAGTGACTCATCTGGACCTGCTGCAGAGATTGTCTACTGCCTGTAAATGACTATTGACATCTATGTATACATGTACAGTACTTTAATTGAATCGTACAATTACTGTCAGATATTATTATTAACCATACATCTTTTTGATACATTTGGTTTAACAATGACAGAAAAGCACAGACATTCAAGTGATATTGTCCTTATTTTTCTTATTCAGCATTTGTAAGCGTAGTTTCTTTTTCACGTCATCTTTACGTAAGAATGTGCTTTATTTTTGTAACCACTTTGCATTAGAACACACATTTTCCTGGAAATATTAAACAGGTAGATGTACAAAATAAATCTGATTGGTTAAGCTTTGGCAGTTGTTTCATGTTTTAGTGTTGTTGGTGGGATCTCCCTTTTCATAAGCAGCATGGAGGAATTATGAAACAGAAAAGACCCTTTTGCAAAAAAATAACATTTACAATTCCATTATCACCCATGTAGAAATGTTTTGGACAGTGTACATTTCTTGATGGTGACAAAATACAGTAATAATTGCTAAAATGTATTGTGATTGCGCTAAAACAGGAAATATGTAATGTATATTGGTTATGCATGAATATATATTTTTTGAACAAAAACCCATTCAACATAAACACAAGTAAATTAATTTGTTCTACACTGTGTGTTGTTAAACATGAACACCCATTTCCACAATTGAAATGGGAGAAATGTCTGGTAAAACAATATAACAAGTAAAAGTGAATTTCTTCAGACTTCCATTCTTATAATTCCATTTTATCAAGTATGAAGGGAAATGAAATTAAACTATTCCCCTGTTTTCTTTTTTTCTTTTTAAGCACTTGATCTTGTTGTCATGTGGCCTACTGGCTTCCAAAAGGAAAACAAAAACAGGGAAAAACAAAAGAAAATTAGTTTCTTTGACCTTTGAAGGAATATTAATTCAGAATGTGCTTTATAGACAAAGTTTCTCTATCAGGAACTTGTAGGCGAAATCCTGTAGGCTAATATATATCATAACTAAGCAGACTTGCATCAGTCCACTCCTAACCCGGACATGTGCGTGCTGAAGCGGGCGGTGCCGTTTTTGTACATCCGGTGTACTCGAACCTTTCACGAGCAGCGAAGAATGGAGAGAGCCGCTAACGACAATCCGCTGTTAGCCTGAAACATCAGTCACAACACCGAGAAACCTTTACATAAAGCTCCGGACAGCTCTGCACACTTCAGGCGTGACATATACAGAAGCCGTGTCCTCGTCTGGATTTATAACAGCGAAGGTGAGCCCGCTGTTTTTGTTTGGGGTGAGCTACATTTCATATTAAGCTTTTGGTTGTTAGCTACTATTTTCGTTGCTAACTGAGCTAATTTCCTTGTTGCGTTCGGTCCAGCTGTCACCTAGCCGTCAGTACGTGGTAGCTAAGGCGTTCACAACAAGCATTTATTTGGTTTTCATTAACCCAATATTATTATTATTATTATAATGAGGATATTTCTTTAAACATATGAAAATATTGTTTAACCAAAGCAGGCACTGTGGCTATGTGATGTTTGGTTAACGCTAGCTTTATGCAGGTTTTCTTTTGGCAAGCAGCTGGAGAGCTAACTGGGCAACGGTTAGTTAATCGATGTGACCATCACTAATGTCAGGCTTTGTCCATGAGACGTTAGCGTACAACTGCCAACTCGCATCCTTGTTTTGATTTGAGGGCCCACTTACAGGGGATCGATCATCTTTGTATTAGCCTCAGCTGCCTCTGCAAAACACTTCCTCACATACAAAGTGTTACCATTGCTTCTCAGTGCAAGGTAACAGATGTAAAGACAGGCTGGCACAGATTACACAGTTAATTAACCAAGGCCCCTCCTCAGCTTTGTAACCGATCAGTAAACTGTCTGGTGGATGGTATTTTGATGTGGTGCAGATGTTAAATTGTACCTCCCAATATGTTCGTGGTCAAACATGAGTGTAGGTCTTATGGTCCTATGTTCCCCATCTAAAAGTCCTCCTAATTTGATATATTAAGGAAACCTTTCAAAGGGTTTTATATTCGCAGCAATGTTTTTCATAGGATAAATGTTCAGTGTGTTTTACAGTGGGTCAATATGTTGAAATGGACCACAGCTTATAGCATACTGATGTTTTACTTCTTAGCATCTACACCCTCAAACTAAAAACCCTAAACACAATGTGTATTAATGTCTTCTCTGTGGTTGAAGGTATTTCTAACGATTGTAATGCGTTTAAAATATCCATCCCTTTTTGCTCATTTGCAATTTGAACTGAGGGTATCCCTCATCAATCTCTTAAAACAAGGACCTTGGGAACATAGATAAACTAACATGAATAGATACACTACCCTTCAATGTAAATGTTCCTTGCTCACCTGCATACGTGGCTAATTACTGAATCATTGGAGTATTCAGTAACTCTTCATGTGGTAAAATAAATGGTTGGGGTCATATTCAGCTAAATAACACAGTGCAAACCCCTGTGTAAACCCCTTTTTGAAGTCATTATATTGAGATATATGTTACTAGCTGGGCGTTAGTCCAAAGTAGAGCTTTGTGGATCCATGATAAATGATTGTTGGCACACCTTAAAAGAGTCTGACTGAATGAAGCGCTGGTATAATAAAGACGTTTCTGTGTTGCGTTTATCTAAAATGTCATGATGAAATATAACTTTTAAAATGAAAAAACATACTCTTCACAGGGTATAACTTAGGTACATCCGTATAGAAATAATAATAGTAGCAGCGTTAGTGAGTTAGTTAAAAAACATTTGTCTATTTTGAACATGTTTAAATCATTTCAGATTTTGCGGGTTAGTATATTATTGCAGGTATTGTTTTGACAAAGATGTAGACAATGGCTCGTCCTTCACAATGTGTGGATTATATTAATACTAGTAGACTACCTCAGTGAAGCAAGCTATGAGTTGTCCTTACAAAATTGAAGATATAATCTGATAATATTTCATTTGTAAGATTCATAGACAAAATCTACGGTAGTAAAATACAATCATGTCACGGAGGTTGGTGCGTACAACAGCGGAAATTGTATTTGTTTTCTATGAATTTATGGACAAGGAAAACCTTGAATAATCTAAATAACCACCAGTGATAAGAGCTGGCTGAAAGGGGAGAGAGGCATCTGTAAACTGGCACTGCCACAGTAGGGGTCTTCAGCATTGGCAGCCCCCCTCTCAGGCTGATCTTTCCACTGAAGGTTAATCACTCTACTCAGTGCCTTTTTATATTATTGAAAAAAGAATGTCAACAGATTAGTCATTTCAATGGATGGTATTCAGCTAGAAGCATTTAGCTTTTCCAGATATTTTGGTAGGCTCATTTGTGTTCTATAATCAAGGTCTTTATAACACTTTCAATGCCACCATATTGTGTTACTGAATAAAATATACAAGTAAATATTGCTGAATTTTATAACAAGCTATTGACCAATTACACCAACTTCCCTGAACTCTAAATGTTTAGTTTCTGATTATCTGCATCATTAGAGAAACCATTTTTGACACGTTTGGTCAGTCAGCCTTGCTGCTTCGGCTTCATGCCAGTGATCAGAAACTTAACAGTTTTGTTTATGTGTATGCTTTGAAACAGTATTTCGAAAAAAATAATCCCTAACGTCTTCGTTACAGAATTTCATTTAAACATAAACTATTTTTGAGTGCATGCAACTAAAGTCTAGAGTCAACTAAAATGTCTTTATGAGAATGAGCACTATATCAAACATCAGGCTGTGCCATTGGAACTGTATACCACTAAACAGGCAGACCTATTTAACACTTATCTCTATTAAGGCAAAAACACAACTGAAGTTTCCAATTTGAAAATTGAATATGACATTTAAAATACTGAGCAAACACCAAAAAACAATGATCACTCCAAAATCCTCTATTTTTTTCTGGATGAGTAGGGATGTGTTTATTGATAGGGATGTTATTAGTGCCTGCACATTGCTATGCTAACAATACTCTAATGAGAGACTTTAAACAGTTGTACATTTGTACTGTAACTGTATAATAGCAAAATTCAGTATTTGCAGAACACATTTCAAGCTAGTCTGACAAAACCAATATATAATTGGATATTTGTCTGCTACACATGCTGTTTAAAAATAATTGTTGAACAAGAAGGGCAAACAAAGGGTTAATATTAGGATCACTCTGTTATAGGATTTGTAAAATCGTTTCATGTGTTCCCCTTCTGAAGAACTAAATTCCCTTTTTTAAAGCATGCCAAAAGGTGTGTATTCTCAAACATATCCTCATTTATCATGAGACACTGCGCCTCCGCACGGATAAAGGCTGGGGGTTCCCCATGTTGCAAAACTGAAGAAGCCATTTGTAGAAAACACAGGACATTTAGTGGGTTGCCTGCATTTGTTTTTCACTTTATTAATTAGGTAGTTGACTAATGTAAATGTACTCAGACTTGCTCCATAGCAATGTCTTTTTTACTTACAAAGAGAAGAACATACAGGGACACTTTATTAAAACAAATCTGATATATATTTTGATAACAGAGGAAAGAATACACAAGTAAAACAACAAATAACACCTAGAGGCTCATAACAGCATAATGTGATATTCCTTTTGTTGTTGTTTGTAATTAAAGTTTGGAATTGTTTTGCCTTATATCGTTTGAATTAAGTTCTTGTCCTCATTTTATCCCATCCTAATCCTCAGGTTAGGCATGTCTGAACATGTCTGAGAATACAATGTGGATGTGGTCCTACTCGTATTTCAAATGCATAAAACAGGCAGAAAAACTGTACCATCCGTTTAGTAACGTTGTTATAATGTCATAATTCTCATACTTTTTCCGATTTTACAAGGAAACACTTTTTAAAGTCCAGCTTGCTTTTAATTTGCCCAAAACGAACCAGAGTAAATCTGGCCTGATGTCAGCCTTGTGTGTTGGATTAGCTGCTTCAAAACTACCCCTGTGTCCCAAAACAAGATTTAAGTATATGGTAGATGTTAGTATGATTTATAATGGAAATGAGGGAATCTCTTTATTTAGACACAAAAGCACATGAGTGGAAATAACTAATGAGCAACAATGTGACTCTACAATGTCTGCTGAGCAGTTTGAATCAATCATGCGACTCTTCTGAAAAACAAATACCCACACCCAAATAGAATGACACATTACACTCGTATTATTGTAATAACAACTTGGTATACATTGGAAGTTAAAAGCTGTGTTTAGCATCTGTACAAGGTGTGGGCTCCAAGCTGAACAGCAGTGTCAGTAAGTGTGTGTTTATAATCCTGCTCCAACAGGGTTTGTGTGTAAAGTTGGTCTTCAATCAGGAGCTGAGCTAATCCAAACACCAGACCAGCGTGGCCCACAAATGATTATTTGCACAATGGAAACTGTTACAGCTCACTTTTTGTCGTAGCTGCAGACCTGTTTTATAGCCGTGTTGTTTTGTTCCTGGTTTTATGTAAGCAACAGTGCTCGGTTGCCCTTGAGAGCAAACTAGCTGTCTTTGATGCATAGATGTGTGCAGGCAATACTGAGCATGACTCATCCGGAAGCCCACACACAAATACTTCAGCAGCAGCCTTTCCATGCTCGGGAATTACAGCATTGTCATGAAATAATTAGTGGCTTTTTTTATTGAAAGAAGAAAAGGGTTTTGTTTTTAATGGTAAACATTAGACTTTTAAATGCATTTCTTTGGGTAAACAATCAGTGAAACCGGAATTCCTCCTGATTTACGGACAGCATTGAGATCCCAAAGGCCTGCAGTTGATAAACATCGTACATCTTTTTTCTTAGTGATTCCTAAATCATAAACAGCCTAATGTTTTATGGTCACATCATTTAATATCTGCAGGGTTCTTGTCAGTGGCAGAAAGGGGGTTGGTTTAACTCCAAATTATTTGAGCGCTTGGCGAAAGCCGACCAGAGTCCATCAAGTTAAGCTATGGTGTCCCTGCGAGTAGTCGTAGCTTTATATAATTGTTTACATAATAATCCCAGCTGACAGTGTCTGGCAGGCTCTAGCTGTGGGTGGTGAAGATGCCTTCATGATCCTCACAAACTATGACTTAGGTTTGTGTTGATGTTCAGACTGTTTACTGGTGTTTTCTGTGACCACTGGGCCTTGATGACTATCTCTTTAGCTCAGCAGCAGTGTTACAGTAAACCAGTGCTGTCCTCATTTAGACCTGTGTACTTGCAGTAAGAGATTATATGACTCATGACCTTCAAATATAAATTAAACTTGCAATGTTAGGGATAAGTTAAATGAAGGAAAACATTTCTAAATATGTCTGAGGAAAGCTTTAGTATTACTTGTCACTCCATTGTTGTTCCTTACCAATATGTACATTTTACACTTAAACCTTGTGTAAGAGTTCAGAAGAGCAACTTTTAAAATCTAACGTCGTCTAGCCAGTGTTACATCCCTCTGTGTCTCACTCGTCTGTGCTCTGCAGGATTTGCCCCCTGACTGAACTCTGCTTTGATGAGCACAGCTCTTTATTTGACTATTATTGAACATTGAAGCCCGATTCAATTCCAGGTTTATTTCACTGTATTGTGTTTTCTCCCTGTGAGGCAGGGATGATGCAGGTTTTTTGTTAACTCAAATTGGATCAAATGTGTCTGTGTGAAACTACTTTAAATTGATGTTTGCAATGCCAGTGTTTTCAATGTGCTGCTAGTTTTAGGAATGTCATTGTATGGTTACTATTGTTATGCTTATGATAGTTGTTCAGCTCACTAAAAGATCAGCCTAAATCCAATTTTCTTTTTCAGCATTTTATCAGATTAACATGGGAGACAACACTTAGATCCACACTACCATGTTCCATGTGCTGTGTGTGTATAGTTAATATCTTCTCTCTGTCCCATGTTGTGCCTTCCAGGTCTTTCACCTTCTCCTTCCTGTGACAGATGTTGAGGCCGGAGATCAGCCTGTCCTAACAACTGTGAGGTGACAGGGTGAGGACAGGAGGAGTGTCGGTCAGCTTTGCCAGGTTTTGTCTCATGAGAGTCACTGTGCCACCCAGGCACTGCCAGTGACCGGGCTGTGGCTGTGGAGGGCCCGGCCCAGGAGGCCTTTTTCTACATCACTCCGGGCTCCTGCTGACCTGTGCTGCTCACACCATGGATCAACAGAGAGATAAATATGGCGAGCGGCCCGCCAGGAGCACTAAAGTTTCCCAGGGAAGCCGCAGCGGACACTCGTCCCGACCATCCGGCTCCTCCAGCTCGTCCGGGGTTCTCATGGTGGGGCCAAACTTTCGTGTGGGCAAGAAGATCGGCTGTGGAAACTTTGGGGAATTGAAGCTTGGTAAGTTGAAACTAAATCTCGTATTGAACAAACTCCATTTATATGAATCAGGGTAGACTAAATACACCTCTCACTACAATGCAAGAAATTCCTAAAATGACCATATATTTAACCAAAACCGCTTAAAACAGTTAGATAAAAATTGAACTTTCAGATTTGTAAGTATAATTGCATGGAAAGTGAGTATATTCACACTTTTTAATTTTTTTTCAAAAAGGAACCCAATTCGACAATTGTCTGTAATATAGACCTCACAAAAATCTTCAGTCACCCAGACACAATCACCTGCAGAGTTGCTTATTCCCTGCTGACGCAGTTGTAAAGTTGTAAGTGGTGTACTTTTATTTTTAAAAGCCATCAAGCCTTCTAAGCCATCCCTCCTTTTTATTTCAGGTAAGAATCTCTACACCAACGAGTATGTAGCTATTAAACTGGTAAGTGCACACTTTATTTCACTGCTTGATTCCCCACGTCTTCTGATTTCCTTTGCAAAATGATAGAGTAAATTCAGTTTCATAGATGCATAATGAGGCACTTGGGTAACCTATTGCCACTTTGGGTTGATTATCAGAACATCTGAGGCTTTGCTCTGGTAGCTCAGTGGGGTTTTACTAGACTGTTTTGGTCTTTGATAGAAATGTGAATGAGATGTCTGTCTTTCTTATGGCTGCTGGACTAAGAACCATGACTCATGCATTTATTGTTCACCAGAGGGTGGTGAAAACAGTCTACACTAGTATTTAGTTTACTCCGTCAAACAGTTTCCAGTTGCTCAAATAGCAGACACATATGCAGTGCTTTTATATATTGAAGAATGTTTTTTACAACATAAGTGAACTAGAGATACGTTTTAGAATTGGGTGGGGCAAGTTATTTTTCTAGGTGACTTTGAATGGTATCTTTCAATAGATTATTATTACAAAATATTGTATGTATTTAATATTATATTTACCAGACTAAATGGGATGTTTTGGTGGTGTTTAACTTTGGAGAAAGACTTGAGTTTGAGTTTAGAAGAAGCTTGGCCAAAATATGCAAAATGGAGACTGACGGTAGTTTTTTTAGGGTGACTCGCATAGTGGAGGAGTCCGCCATCTCCTTTTACACATTACTGATTGGACGGTTTTAATCCCAGGTAACATCAGATTATTTACATATTTGAAGTTTTATTAGAAGAAAGAGTGGCTGGTGACCCTTGTGAAAAACTGACACCCAAATCAGCATTCATGACAATGTTTGTGCTGCTAGTGCCAGTTAGTTTGGCTGACCTGCTAGTGATACATGGCGAGAGAGTTGTCCTGGTACATCCTAAATTCATGAGCCATCAAGTCAACAATTTCACACCCTTCTTAAAGGAATTCTCTGTTGTCTTCTGTTTCAGTTTTGTCATTGTTTTAATCCAGTTTAAAGGTTATTCTCATTAACCTGGTACTGGTTTGAATGTGTCCACTGTGCAGGAACCAGTGAAGTCGAGGGCACCACAGTTGCATCTCGAGTACCGGTTCTACAAAACACTGGGAACTACAGGTAAGGTCACAGATATTCTTTCCAACCCCTCCTGGTGTTTTGGTGTGGCTGTATGGCAATGATTTGACTGTTTTGGAAGATCAGCCAAGAAGATTACATCATTTCCAAAACAGGTGCTTACTCCGCTCAGGTTACGTATTGATATTAAGCTGCGTCAGCAATTTATTTTAATCTCCAGGACTTTGTGTACATGAGTGCATCGATGCCAATGTGCCATGTGTCATTATGAAAGATGGTGACATAAAGAGTCTTATTCATACACCAAACAGATGCAGCAGCTGATGATTCACTGAAACACTTCTTTATTGTTATATAGCAGAAAGAATTGCACACTATTTGAGAAGGTAAATTATGTTCAGGGCTGTATGTATGTCATATTAGTGGTGTGCACTGCTGTCGACAGCAGACACGTGTGCTGAAGATAACGTAAACATATTTTGAATTATTTGCGGACTCAGCTTGGGTCTGCATGGGTCCAGTCTTCATGTGTTGGAACATGTTTATACGTACATAATGAACAACTACATTTAAAATATAGGCAAATCAATGTTTTTACACTGACATATTAATACTGTATTAGGTTGACGATTGGCAAACTTTTGAGCAAACAGTTGCTTATTTACACATTCAGCAGTTACACAGCAACGTTATCATTCATTCATCGACACCTGGCGCATTCCATGTAGCTCTGTTTTTTGGTCATCCCCACCTCTCGATGGATTTATCTAGCTAGTTGGTAACTTTGTCCATTTTGACAAAAGGTTCCATGAACTATGGAACCAGAGGGACTAATCTAAGACCTAGACGTCTCTATTGCACATTCCTATTTGCACTTCCATCTTGTGTAGTTAGGTGCTGATATTTTTTGTCTACCAGCCAAATGGCAAGTGGATTTTTTTATTATACCAGCTACTAGATCACAATGGTTTTTTAGCCTGGTAAGTGGTGGAAATCTAGAGCAACATGAATATTTAACCAGCATTTAATGATTCTCTGAAGTTTCGTCACTAAGAATGAGCCCTTTCACATTACACATAGTCATTTGACCCATCTCAGTATATTGATTTGAGTCTGAAGCAGGCCTATACAGTATGGTGTCACTTTGCTGCGTGTAGCAAAGGAATTCACTTATGTGATTAGCCTTCGTCTTGTTAAAACATCCGGGAACTGATGACTTCAAACTGCTGTCATTGCATGAGGCTAAATGATGTGGTCAAAGGTCGACAATAATACACATCACTCACCATATTATATTTAATATGCATGCCATAAAACGTTGCAGATATCAGTTGCCTAATATCTTCATGGTCACTTTAGCTAATATCAATGCCTGTTATTTCCATTTTAGTGCAATACCAGTCTGTATTCGGTGCTCTTTATTCGTTTTGGTTCGATTAGTCATGCCAAAACAACTTCAACCTGAATGTCTAAAATGTAAACATTTAGATCTTGAGGCTTTACCTGTAACGGTAAATCCTGAAATCCATTACATATTTGTTTTAATCATTGTTCTAAGGTTTTATGTTTTTTTCAAACATAACGGTCATTGTTACAGTTGTTCCCCTGCACTGTCTGATGTTAAAATGGGGTCGAGTAGTGATGTCCACACTTACAGTACAAACACTGACATAACTGCTTGTCTTTTTCAGATCCTCATATTGTTATTTTGTTGGAGCCGTGCCCTCAACGGTTTGTTATTCTGTGTTCAGAATGAAAAACAATACAATGCAAGCTGCTCCATAGACTTTTCTTCCCATTGCTCCCCTGAGAGTTTATCAGTTTGTCATCAAAGATTAGTCAAGGTCTGATGATGCATCACTGGTACTGACAGGAATCTTGTGAGGATGAAATGAATACAACGGAGAAATAAATGAGGGGAAACTTTTTTCACATGGTACAAGAGGAAATGGGTGTGAACACTAGAAACCATGGAACAATAGAAAATGTTTTGTAATAGTTTTGCGTTGCTCTTCTGGTGAAGTGGTTAAATAATAATGTAAGCATTGCCCTTATTGTCACTTGGATACACCTAGAGTGGCGCTAGTGATTGATGATCAGAAAGAAAATGGTTTAATCACAGTGATACAGTTTAGGGATGGTCAGTCACATTTTGGCATGGAAGATAAAAGGCACATTTTTGTGATTTATGGTCCTTGATGTTCTTTTTGGATCGCTACACGCATATATGATAACCAGACTGGGAATGTAATGGCTATTGTTTTGCAAGGGCTGGAAAAGGCCAACTGCGGAAACTCATTAAATATTTAGAGAGTGGGTCTGCCTCTCTTAGTACTAACCTGCCTCTGTCCTCGCCTCCAGATGGGATGATGTGACCTCATTTCTTCTTTGCTGTGTTTTTTAGCCACATTCCTCCCAGCCAATGTGGTTGTCCCAGTGTCTGTGCGACAGGGGCTTTATGAATAAATGTGGTTCGACTCAGATGTTCCATCAGGTGTCGTAACCAGTGCATAACCAACTGTCACTGGTTTTAATGAGGACAATTCAATTAGGAATTAGGATTTTCCTTCCAGATATGATGGGAATATTTATCATTGAAGTCAATAACAGCTTCAAGCTGCTTTGGTTTTACAAGCCCGCAGACTGAGGCCTTATTTAGCTGAGGACACAAGATGGTTTTGAAGATCAAGAGGGTTTTGTTCAAGGGTGGGCGGCCACTATCGAGCTGTGAAAAGAATTGGCAGTCAGAGCTGGTCATGAAACACTACACCAGCTCTGTGACCATTGCAAACCCAAAGAGTAAACATTTCCCACAGTGACAAGGCGTACTATATTTTGCAGGCATGTAAAGAAAAGGCCAGCAGCACATCAATAATTGTTAAGAATAGAACTTCTCTCATGGCACTGTTTTTCAATAAATAAGCTAGAGAGCATTGTTTTTGTTGGCTTTTTAGATTCTTATCAGTTGTTAAGAAATGTATCTTAAAGATTATAACAACTGCAGCAACAGGGATGGAAATAAATACAGTATGAATTTGTTTTTAGCAATGTAACATTTAATAATTCAACTTTATCTAGATGAATACTGTATAAGCTAATGTAATAATTCACCTTTGCAACACGGCCAGTGATTTATGAGCACTCAAGAAATGTATTCTGTATATCTTTAAAAAATCCCAGTGGGCATTTGAAAATCAAAGACAAACCAGCCCTGTAGTAGTCTTTCTACATGTTATAAAGGATTGCACATTAAAAATGTTGATTTGTTTTTGTTTAAAGGCCTGACAGTTACTTGTGGTCACAGTTATGCAGGGCAGTTTTGCAAAGCAGCCACAAAATGTAAGCGTGCCAGCAAATACGTTTGTCAGAAAGCCGGCTCAAATCCTCAAAAGTTGAAGCTTTCTGAAGAGCCAACTCAGAACCATGAAGATCTCGTCTGTCTCCTTATACTACTTCTTTAATACACACATGTATTCACATACCTGTTATAAATCTACATTGCGAAAATCCATCTATTAAACTATCTCTAAACTATCGCTAGACTGACACACATACTAGTATGCACATTATTTATATATTTATATATATATATATATATATATATATATATATATATAGTAAGAAAAACTAATTCACACCTACAGTTTAATTTAGAGTCAAAAATTCACCTAACCTGCATTTCTTTGGACTGTGGGAGGAAACCCACACAGGCACGAGGAGAACATGCAAACTCCACAAAGACAGGTTCTACACAGTAATCCCAGTATCATTTGTGTTGTTGTTGTTTTAAAGGCATTTGATGGTGCCTACTTGCATGAAGGAATAAAGGAATCAAATATAAACAAGTTTATGCTTAAACGTAACTTTTTCTGCATCCCACAATGTCACATTGTTGGTTAAATATTGATAACGGAACAACTACCACCAGACAGTCACAATAAAACATTGAAGGTCAGGTCTGTTTTCGTGGAGTCTAGATGAAGTTATAATCGTTGGCAGCAGCTGGGTGAAGAAAAGCACACAGTCATGGGAGATTTGAGCTAGTAATAGTCATATTCAGTCATCGCACATTCAACTAGTTCCCCTTTTTGTTGTAAAGGACTAAAGCCCCTGTCACACTGTCCCGAAATTGACACCCGATGGACACACGAATATGGAATTGTGAATTTCGCACGAAGATGGCCCCGAACCACACACGAAGGCAACATTTACATTACATTTAAGACATACAACTGCAACGAAAGTAACAAAAACAATTATGTTAAAGTACTATGATACTGTACTGATATTTTCCGACTTTGTTCTTTACTTTATCCGTCTTTATATGTAGAAGATATTAAGTTTTCTCCTTAATGTTGTTTCCATAGCATTAACAACTTCCTGTCAACTCGCCTTCAAAATAATATATTATATCCTTTTCAGTTTCACAGAACACAAATTGGGTTATTTACATAATATGTTTACATGATTTTGTTGTGCAATAAAAAAAAACGATGGAGACACGATAAAGGAAATGTTCAAATACAGCTCTGATCGTAACAACATTGGGACATTCGTGAGGGCATCTTAAGCCATCGTATGACCGCCAGTGGAGTTTCTCAGGCTCCGGTATGGAGTCAGATTTGGGTCAATATTCTAGCGCGCAAAACAAGCTACTCACGAGCGGAAAATGTGCTTTTATACGCGCATGAAATGACCCTCGCGCGCAGATTAAACCCCCGCGAGCAGAGACAGCCCTCTTGCTCGCTCGCAGGAGTGTCAGCCTCACTCGCTCGCGGAGTCTGTCTGCACGCGCGTGAGAAGTTCTCATAACACTCCGTTCGATGTCTCACTATGGGATGCGCCTCAACGCGTATGCACCAGAAGCATCAATCTCATTACGCCAATCCTGATTGGCTGGTGATCTTGACGCCAACGTCAGGGAATCCACCAACCCTATAAGTAGCTTGCGCCACGACGCAGGCGTCATTCAAACACCTCTTCTCGCTTCGGAGCACATCTCGAGAAAGATCAGTAGCTAGCTAGNAGGCATGGAGGGCAGGCAACATTTACATTACATTTAAGACATACAACTGCAACGAAAGTAACAAAAACGATTATGTTAAAGTGCTATGATACTGTACTGATATTTTCCGACTTTGTTCTTCTTATATGTAGAAGATATTAAGTTTTCTCCGTATGTTGTTTCCATAGCAACAACAACTTCCTGTCAACTCCAAAATAATATATTATATCCTTTTCAGTTTCACAGAACACAAATTGGGTTATTTACATAATATGTTTACATGATTTTGTTGTGCAATAAAACAACCTGATGGACACACGATAAAGGAAAGTTCAAATTCTCGTGAGCGGTGGCAAAATCTTTGGCATGCCAAAAAATTGCCGAAGGACCTTGCGAAGGTTCATTTTCGTGTTGAATTCGTGTGTCAATTTTGCCCTTCGTAAGGCCATCGTGAGGGCATCTTGTTATCATCGGTGCCATCGGGCATTCGCCCCGATCAGAGTGAGGGCGAATGCCCGATGGCACCGATGATAACAAGATGCCCTCACGATTTGACAAGATGCCCTCACGAGTGCCTTACGAAGTTGCCGCTCACGAAGTTGCTGCCGGAGCCTGAGAAACTCCACCGGCGCCCGATGTTGTTACGATAAGAGCTGAATTTGAACTTTTCCTTAATCGTGTGTCCATCGGGTGTCAATTTCGGGACAGTGTGACAGGGGCTTTAAGCCAGTGCCTCCATCGGATTACAGTAATGCATTAAAAATCTTTCTTCTATCCTACGAGATAGACTTTTTTTATTCAACAGCTGACATAACTGATACATTTGTGAAAGCCCACATAAAACCTTTGTTGCAGGGATTTATTCTTTTAGACCTGCTGCTGTGACTTATGAAATACTTTTATATTACACTGTAGAAATGTCTTAAAGACAAAGTCAGAACTACACTATACTAAATAGGAATTCCTCCCATTATGTATATTATATATATAGTAAATAGATGAAAGTCAAAAGTGGTCCCTACAAAAGTGGTAGCTCCAAGTCTTCTTGTACAATTAGAGATGAGATGTATTTTCAGAACAGTTGTTGGGTGATCCCTGGATACCCTTTGCTAGTTAAAAGCTTGACCAACCTTGTTTTCAATTGAACCACCGTTTATCCACTTACTTACAGCACATCTCCAATCTGCCACATTTTCAGGCCTCCCACAGTCATCCGGGGTTTCAAGGCACTCATTCCTGTGGTACAATTAGCAACCCACAGAACTGCATAATGGTGTCCAGAAACACAAGATGGAGCACAGCATGCCTCCTACATGCCCATATGCTAGCTGACAGCATTCACGCCACTGTTTATACTGCAGTGTATTAACTATTACCCAGCTTGTGGGTGGAATGCCCTCGGGAGCATTAATATATAAAGATAAATGTGTTAACGCATTCAAACGGGTTAAGAATTTGCTTTCTGAGTTTTATTCTTTGCTTCAACTACTCAACAAAATAACAAGGAAATTAAATGTCCCCTTCATTGTGGCACACAATTTCTCCTTCATTGGGCACACAAAAAATGAATGAACTGATTATAAAACCAATATATTGTGAGATGGCAGGCTGTCCAAAAGTTGCAAAGGTATATCTGCAGAAGAAAAAAATCTTCAAGTTTGAAGAAATAGAGACTGAGATAAAGTAAATGTGTTAGTTGGAAACAAAATGTATTAACTCTAGTATTAAAAGCAGCGATCTCAGGGTTCAAGCCACCACAGACTGTTAGAAGTTGAAAGCTGCGAGGGGTCAAGACTTTTGACCGGTTTCTGATGGTCATTTGTTTTCGACCAAATGAGCAATTAAGGTCATGTTTCTTGAGCACTTCCTTTACACAATTTCCAACCGAAGGTGAATATTCAATTTGTCTAATGTGAAATTTCTTAAGGGTAATATCAATGATAAAAATCAGCACAAGAACAAACCCTAACTAAATGACACCCAGATAGTGCAGATCTCAAGGTAGCACTAGCTTTATCTCTCAATTAGTTATTTTTATTTTGAAATCTGCTGATACTCAATATTAAAAGAATGGCTTGAGGAACAGGGACATGAAAAGCAATCAGGAAGTCCCTTCTTCTTCTAACTTTCATGCAATTATAATATTTTCAAGGACTGAGCTGAGTTTAAGCAGTCTGATCAAACAAGGTCTGTATGATTGAGGCGCCCACTTTAATGGGACTCAGCAATAAGCAGGGACAGACTTTAAATCCTGCTCCCCCATAAGGCAATTAACAGTTTGAACTGATTTCCTGTTTTTGAAACAAAGTTCAGGATGTGGTCATGAAAACGACAAAGAATACAGATATCACTATTATTAACGTTAAGGAATTGGATGTGCATAAAACTTGAAATCCTACAAATCATTAGATTATAATACAAATAATGTCACACTGTGTGCTGGATGGTGAGCCTCTAAAAAGCAGAAAGACAGAAATCCCTTTGTGTGCTTTTTATAATAAAAACTGTAGGAATAAGAGAAAAGGTAAAACAACACACTTTTCACCCTTCATATTATACTTGTAGGCTTAAAGCTCACTTACTTTATCTGGAAGTGTAACTGTACAGGGAGATTTAATTTCCAGATCACCAGTATTATAAACAACCAATACAAAGGAGTAATAGGTCAGAGCCCAGGACCAATTATTATTATTGTTATTATTATTATTATTATAGCATTAGACTGACCACACAACCCCAAACTGCATTGTAAAGATCTCAAATGAGAGCCAAGGTGACAGATGGAAGGGATTTAGAGCAATTACAGTGAGAAGAACGGAGAGGATATAATCCAGTTGGGAGAATGTTATATGAGGGAGTGAAAAGATGAGTTTTCAGCCTGCAGTAGAGGAGTGACACAGTTTTATTTGCAGGCACCGACTGTGCTGCATTTCACTCTAAGGTTAATCTTTACCTAGCAGCTTTCTCTGCTCCCTATCCTCAGTAACCTTGTGGCGCCCCCCCCTCCTCTCTGACCCGTCTGAGGCCCCTTATTTGAAAATCATTAGTCAAGAGAGACTGGAATAATAAACTCCCCACTAGTTTATACAACTGACATACAAAATGATTTGTTGTTATCATCTACTTAATGGTTTTGCTTTTCCTTCAACAGTGCATCACTTGCAAACTCGTGATTGAACTATAAAAGCTTGTGAAGACAAATGTACAAGTACAGCTCTGTCCACTCTCTTTGAAGTTTAATGGCTTTCTCCTTGTGTTTCAGCTGAAGGCGTGCCCCAGGTGTTCTACTTTGGGCCCTGTGGGAAATACAACGCCATGGTTCTGGAGCTGCTGGGCCCCAGTCTAGAGGACCTGTTTGACCTTTGTGACCGGACCTTTTCACTGAAGACTGTCTTAATGATAGCTATTCAGCTGGTGAGTTCAAAGATGTTACACAGTAAGATGTTTTAAAGAGCTTACACTAACTTATTAAGACTATGAAACTCAACTCTTACACTTAACTCAACTATCTTCTGAAAATTCACGCCCAAGATGGTGCACAAATTGTGTCTGATAGAGAGCTTTACTCAGTGTTTTAGGCGCCTCAGGCATCTGAGATTTTCTAGCATTTCATTTTGTCAGCATAAAATCTGCAATGCTCTTGTAATGAAGATATCCCCTGCAAATTCGTAAGGAAATCTAAAAAACTGCACACAAAGCCTGCATCTCAGCCAATCTCTCCTCTGTATTTATCATGTTGGTCTTCCTCTTTATTTTTTGGCTGAAGTGAGTAATCCCTCAATAAGCCACGTTTACATGGAGACGAAACGGGTGTTATGGCCCGTCCACACAGCAGTTTAAAAAAAAAGTTTCCAACGCTTCTCTGCCCATTCACTTTGAATGGGGTGACGTCACTTTGCCTCGCTTTTCGCCGAACTGCATTGTGGGAAAGCAAAGCGAAGATTTCCAGGATTTCCAGGATTTTCAGGATTCAAAAGTTGAGCAATGTTCAACTTTTGAAGCTGAGGTGGAAGCGTCAGCCAATAAAATCCCGTTTATGCAAATCTGACAGTACAAGCGCTAGCCAATCAAACCACGTGTAAACTGAGAGAGACATACCGCAGTTCATTTCCTCATATTCCAAACGAGAAATTACGTTATCAAATCACCCGGTTCTTTACGACCAGACTATTTACCGGGATACAAACTGGTATGTTTTCGCCTGTTTGGGGATTTTATATCCAGTTTACTTCGTTTTAAACATTGCTAGCAAGCATAGACAGTATCTTTAGCCAGCATGGAATGTAGCATAAAATAGCACCATAGACATTAATCTCATACATGTTCATCATAGCCCTTCCCGCTGACACTTTACCTCTGCCACATCATAGACTATATGCATCACATTAATGCACACAATGTCATACTCCTTTCTGCACACATTCTGAGTGGAGAAGAACAGGGGTTTTTTGCTTTGTATGTCGGGGGCGGGATATTCACGTGATTGGTTATTGGTCGCGTTGCGAGCAAAAAATCCCCAAGCTCTCAGACACGCCCAGCTCCAAGATTTTCAAGATTTTTTCAAAGCTGCTGTGTGGACGTACCGTTAAACCCCCATTAGTCACTACATTTCTGTTTCAAACATAACAAAGCCACATGGAACAAAGTCTACTTATAGGTTGTGACTGAATCACCAGATTGGCCCAACAAAGGGGGAACTGCCCGTCTTTCATCATGAACTGTGCAGTACTGAGGAAACAGAAAACAAAGGAGTCCAATGCAGGGGGTTCATGTGGGAGAGGATCTCCCTCTGAAGGGAACTTTGAGATTTTAGCCTTTGCAGACCATTACATGCATAAAGAGCTGTACACTGTATAACACATTACTAAAGAGAAAAAAAGGACTGCCTCCACCCCCAAAAAGGGCATCTTTAAGTTATTAAACATCTGAATTCATGATACATTTACTGGTTGAATGAGCAGGCCCCTTCTCACCCATATTAGGCTGATAACCTCCGAAAACCATTGTATTAGCTGATAACAATCAGTAGATTTGTATTATTGTGGAAAGCAAACCGGTAGCCAAATGATATCTACTCAGAAGAATAGCATGGAAACATATTCTTCTGCTCCAGATAAGCCTCTTACTTCTGCTGGAAGAACTTTTGTTGTTATTCATGACTCAGTCGGCCAGTGTGTCAGAAATGAAACATCGCACCCAGGAGAGACAGTCATACTGAGGGCTTCACAAGAAGTGTGAGTGTGCATCAACATGGATTATTCTTCTATTGATCAGCTGGTCCAGCATAAGGTCATTAGATCTGCTCAATACGGCTCGCAGCTTGTAATGACGGGAAGCCATCGACTGCTGCCGTATCGATCAGCTTACATGTTAGCATGACTCAGCAGGTCACTTAGTTTGTTGCTCTGTTGAAAATAACTTCAACAAAGAATCACTTGCAGTTTCACTCATTTATCTCACCTTAGTTTTTTTAAATATATGAATTGGACCACCAGTTCAACATGCAGGTCCTCCACATGGGGACTTATCCTCAGTACATAGGCCACCGGCACTATGTGAGCTAAACGGCTTTTTTATATTCATTCTTATTTTAATAATAAAGTTGATTTAAGTGAAAAAAATACTATTTTTCACAACTAGCTCTATAGAGCACTGGATTTACAAAAACGTTTTATCTGTATCTTGGCACACATTCAGATTGAATTTTTTTTCATTTTGTTATCGACACTGGGTGGTGTTAATACACCAACAATATATAGTAGCACACTAACCAAGGCAGTGAAGCTACATTCATAAATCTAATTATGTTTCAAAATAAGTAAGGCTATTGAGGACACCGAGGTGACTTTTTAACATTTGTTTATATTGGACCAAAAATAAATAAATCAATTGATTGGCATTCCTCCACAAGGATTTTATTTATTGAATAGTGGAGAGTTCTAAGAAGTTGTGAAACATAACTTAATATTGAAAACTTTGGATAAAAAATCTCTAAAAACGAAGTCCTCGTTTTAGGGTTCGGGGAAAGCTTGGACTTCTGACCTCAGCGGATGTCAACGGCCAAGAGAGCTTACATTTACAGTGTTTCCCGTGTTAAATGAATTCAATGTATTCCTGATTTTGAGGTGCACAGTTTAATTCATCATGTCTCTGTGTAAACATGTTCCTCTTATCCTATCAAAGGGCTGCAGCTTGACCGTTCTGGTGATGCAAAACAGGAATGAAGCAGAAGGAGGCCAGAGCGATCATTTTGGAGTTTTTAACGTTGAGTGTGTACGATTTAGAGGCATCTAGTGGTGAGGCAGCAGAACGCAGCCAACCGAATACCCCTCCGACCTCCCTTTCCAAGTGTGCAGAGATTTTACTGTGGCCTTTAGGTCACGTAAACACAAAACACCCTTTCTACAGCTAGAGTGGGTTTGTCCATTCTAGACAACTGTAAAATCATGGTGGTGCAACATGGAGCTACCTATGCCGATATGACGAAAACATAGCATTTCTTTAGGTGAATTTAAACTAATAAAAACGTAGTTATGAATGTTTTATTCCATGTCTGCTAATAGATCCAGCTGAATCCTACACACTGGACCTTCACAGGCCTGAGTAAAACTCCATGAACTTTGCATGAGAAGATGAATGTTGAATCAAAATGTTACTTTGTTGAATGTTGCCGCTCTTTTCCCCGGCTGTTTCCCAATAATCATCTTGTCTTTGTTGTTTACAACACAGCAGGATAAAGGAGGGGAGGCATCGTGGGGGTTACCGTGCCCCGCTGCAACCCCCACCAACCCCCCTCCCCCCAGCCGCTCAGCTCACCGCTGGCATGTGATCGCACGCCACTGGCTCCGCACGACCCGCAGTCGGGCCGGCGGGGTCATCCCGGTAATACCAGAACTTCCAGGAGCAGCAGCAACACACACACACACAGAGACAACACACACAAACTGAGACAATACACACACACTGAGACAACACACACAAACTGAGACAATACACACACACTGAGACAACACACACAAACTGAGACAATACACACACACTGAGACAACACACACACACACACACACATACACTGAGACAACACACACACACACACACACACACACACACACACACACACACACACACACACACACACACACACACACACACACACACACACACACACACACTCAACACAGCTGTAAAGTGTTTATTAAAGAACTTAACCATGGAGGAAAAGTCATAAGAACGTATTTATCAGTTGATAAAATGAAGTCCTTATGTTTTCAATTCTGTCAGTCCCTTTTGTATGACCACAGAACTTTTTCCTTTAGTTGCTTCCACCTACTGGTAACCACTACTGAAAAGCCCCCATGCGCTGCACAACAGTAACACACTTACCCTGTACAAAACAGTGTAAGTAATAGGATAGCTGTGACTTCTTTAAGTCAATACAAATACTTTACTAAAATAAAAATACCAATAGACTGTAAAAAAACACAGATAGAGTAAAAGAGTTATGCAGTAGAATGATATACTTTGAATTGCTTATTATTACAGCAATATATGATATGGCTGGTCAAAGCTATTTTCCACTACTTCATAAACTGTCGGGTTGTTTATTTGTTAGTAATACACTTTTTTAGATGACCATGTATTTGTTTGAACAATTTATTGTGAATAGTTATTATGCCTGACAAATAAATGTAGTGGAGTAATAGAAAACTAAATAGACTAATATTTCCCTCTGAAATGTAGTTCGCTTTAAGTAAATAACAAATGTAGCATTTACAGTTAAGGAAGTAGTAGTTAGTTGCTAAAGTAAAAAATAGCAATAAATTGTACAAAGATCAAATTGAAAAAACAGAAAAAAGAGTAAAGACAGCCACATATTATCAAGAAAGTCCCAGTAGAAAAATATAATTTGTTTTGAAATGTAGCAGACTATAAGTAAAGCACAAATGTGAAATTAAATGTCAATTGTTAAATATAGCACATCATTACCAAATAGTTTTAAAGTAGAATACATCCGTACATTTATTGAGTGATGGTGTCTCTTTCTTTCTACATCATTTAGAAATAAGTCACCAAATTATAACGTTTGTTTATATATCCCTAATCTTAACAGAATTTTACTGTTGAACACATTGACTGTTTAACATTCTCTAACAACAGAAGCCTGCATAATTCATCCTACTAACCAAATAATACGATTATCTTTCCTCCACCAGAAATAGAACAGACAATAGGAGGATTTACATGTATGGATTTTTTCAGTTTCTGAAAACGGAATGGCATTAGGATGAAAAACAAATCAAATAATGAAGTCCTATCCTCGTAGACCTGCTGAATTTAGCTCTGCGGTAATTCTGTTTTTCAACCGAGACATCCACTTGAAAAGCCCACAATCTAGGGCAAAATCTGCATTCACAAAACCAGCCTGCAGTCACTGAGATCAGAGAGGGAAGCAACAGCAGCAGTGAAGGATCTGTCTCTGCACATCGTTACACACCTGAGGACACACACTCTCACACATCCATGGAGAATCTCTCTCTCAGGAACTATGACATATTAGTTCACATCTTTCCAAAAACAAAAAGCCACGCATTCCCTCCCCACCGTGCCCAGTGGCTGCATATCCTCAAACATGGGGTTATAAGAAAGAGAAGAGTGCCACCTGCTGGTCCGACCAATGTACTGTCCTCACTAATATCTCCCCTTTAAAAATGCATTTGCATGAGATCCACAGAGCCTGAAGCTGCCCTCTCTGTCGAGTTTATTGGAGTTCTTCATCTTCATGTAGCAGTGTTGATACACTTGCATATCTGAGAAGCTCATACATATAATTTGACACGTCATGTTGTTCATGAAGGGCAGCTTCAGGTTTTCCGTTTCTCTCTCTTTAGGTGTGTCCCTGATCTGATTGTGTTACTCCTGTCCTTTCTTTTTCCACTCATCACAGCTAATAACTTCATGTGACTTTATTTACTCCCTGATCTTAACCCATCACTTTTCTTTTTGTATGTGTACTGTGTCTATTTGGAATCCTTTCATATTTTCTTTCAGATGTAACACAACAATGATAATATCCTCTACTTTTGCATGTTTAATAAGGCAGCAGTGTGCAACGCATCCATGACAGTTGTGATGGTGACTAACCCTACGGCGGTCGACAGGTGTAAATGCGATACAAAGTCCCAAAACATTTCCAATATGAGAAACTTGTTGTAGCTGCAGAAAACGATGCAAATATAAAAACAAATCAAATGAAGAAAAATCTTGACTAACATGCAGCACATGCAGCATTTAGAAAACATTCCCCAACTAGACGAAACATGTGCAGCATTTACTAAAGCACTGCATAAACCAGGGGTGTCAAATTCAATTTAATCACGGGCCACATCAGCATTATGGCTGCACTCAAAGGGCCGGTTGTAACTTATATATAAATATATATATAAAATAATGTATTATATTCCATTATTGCCTCTGCATTGGATTATTATCTGATAGGGTAATAACTTCATAATTAACTACATCTGAAAGCAGAAGTCTAGGGCAAATAATTGCAAGTCTCTTCAGTGAGAATGTCACAAAATGATTTAAAAAGAAAAGCTGGAAAAAAGTCAAAATCAAAAAACAGAAGTGACATTTAAAAAGAAAAGGAAGTGACATTTAAAAAGAAAAGGAAGTGACATTTAAAAAAGGAAGTGACATTTCAAAAGAAATTAAAACAAAGGAAGTGACATTTCTAAAAAAGTAACATTTAAAAAAAAGAGTCAAATTTGGAGAAATAAGGCACATTTAGAAGAAAAAAAGTCAAATTCTGAGAAAAAAAGTCTAATTTGAGATGCATTGTGGGACATGTAGTTTATGGGCAACTTGCTTCTGTAAATCATCATGTAACTATATAATAAACATATTATATTCTTTGCAAGCTCTTGTGGGGCCACAGAAAATGAAGTCACGGGCCGGATTTGGCCCCCGGGCCTTGAGTTTGACACCCCTGGCATAAACAGATACAAAACGCTGCAAGAAGCTCAAAACCCAATGGGAGTCTCCATTGGAAGAGGACACTAAAAAGTGACGCACACAGCTCGGACTGGAGCTCTTGGTCACGTTCAGGATTATAAAGTTGGTCAACAGAGTTAGTCTGTCTCATAACTCTAAGTGTTTGTCAGTATATCTGAAATGACTAGGCTGGCTACGTTAGCTAGCTAGCGTACAACAGATCTGCTATAATATGAGAAGGAGTCATGTGATCACATTGTCAAAATAAGACAATAAAAGTTACATTTTGGGTCAGTTTCCAGTGACAGCCAAGCAGGTGTTCCGTTGTGTGTTGAGCTTCATGCAGCGTTGGTGAATTTTTTCTAAAAGCTGCATGTGCTGTCAAGTTGGTGAAGAAGTTTCTTCATTTGCAAGTTTTGTACACATTGTTTTAGGAGTGTTTCTCCTAATGAAAGTGTTTTGGGCTGTTGAGGCCGCTGCATCTCTCAGCCACCATTCTTACCTCATATCCTTGTCCTGCATTTTCTCACCAGATGATGTTCCTTCTCTGCTCTAAACTTGAAAGCAGAGCAGGAATGTTCTCTTACTGTAAATGACATGTGCTGATATAATACAGGTTAAGATCAGTAAAACCTTCACTATTGTGTTAAAAATGACAAAAAGAACACAACAGAAATTAGTTTAAGTGTCATTTTTAAGCACATCAGTATGAACCTGTTTTATGTCAATAGCCTACGGATCTTACAAAATTAATGTGAAGACCAGATTCCTTAAAAACAGAGCACTGCAAGATAAAACATATTTGCGTCAAGATTTGTTTCTCAAAAATATTTTGCCTGATGTAAATGTCAAACACAGCTGTCGCTTCTTCTGACGCCAGCTTGTCATCAATTGGTGTTTCTAAAAAATATTTAATCTATTTTGGCAGTCGAGGAGTTACAATGCCTCGCAGGGATATTGACTTCCCTTGCCACTGTGTTAGATGACAACAATATTGAATACCCAGATGCCCCGGCGCATCTGTGTTTGCAGGAGCTGAATGCTGAGCTGCTTGCTCTGGAGGAATCTGTTGTCTCTCTCATCCTGTATCTTCCCTCACTGTTTGCTGCTGATGCAGTCTCCCACACGCACTACAGCAGATGATCTGTACTGCTCTTTACACTGACATACACTGTAATAATGAATACATTTGGCAATATCCAAAGGCATATAAGTGTGTCCAAAGGATGCTTTAAAGGGGCACTCTGCAATATGAGTTAGCAGGCCAGGAAAAGTGCTAGTAAGCCTTTCAAAATATATGA